GGAGGACCAGCGGGGGGGAAACTGGGATCGTTCCAGCAGGGCATAAAATCCCACAGATCAGATACCAGGGCTCCATCAGGCTGAGACACGATCAATAACTGCTGGATATTTCCATTTCCAAGGGCAGCACTCGGAGGTGGGGGCAGGAAACGTGGTCCTTTTTAAAACCCGGCTTTCAGATGGGCCTCGTTCTCTCTGGCAGCCACTTTGCTTTGGAGCCTCAGCTCTGCTTTTGCCAGCAGAGAGGGACCTGTGACGCTGCTGGGATAATTCAGGAGCTGTCTAAGCTGGCACTGGAAGGATGCCAGGATGATGCTCTGGCTCCCAGCCAGCTGAGCACAACCCAGCTCTTCCAGGGACACGGGGTTCGGGCACAGGCCTTGGGGACGTCTTGGGAACGCGTCCTGCCAGGCTGCATCTTTGCAGTGGGGCACAATCCCTGCTGGAAATCATCCAGGCATTTATTCCAGAGGTGAACTGGACAGCTGGTTGTGGTTCAGCTGTTGGGACTGAGTCACTGCAGGGCAAGAAGTGCCAAGCTGGGGATGGTTGGTGCTGCCGTGAATAGGGGCCAGTCAGGCGGGGCTGCAGGGCCTTCCAAGACGTTGTGTTTGGGGGCAGTGTCCCAGTGACTGCTGCCAGGGCAGGGTTTCCAGCCTCAATCCCATAATATTCCTGACATCTGAGAAATACAGGCCCTTTCTTCTGCCACAGCAGAGCTCCTCTGGCCCCAAGTGCCTGTGTCCTGTTCTGGCATCAGAATTTCCTACCAGAGCAGGGTTGGGAGCATCTGGGAGTCCCAGGAGCAGCAGCTCCTGCACTGGTGGCTCTGGTTTTACTCCCAGCTGTGTTTGAGCTGCAGTTTCGAGTCCCACGCTGGTTTGGATTGGAAGGGACCTTAAAGCTCACACCTCCCACTAGCCCAGGTTGCTCCAAAATCTGGCCTTGGACACTTCCAGGGATCCAGGGGTAGCCGCAACTTCTCTGGGCAACCTGTGCCAGGGCCTGTCCACCCTCACAGGGGGGAATTTCTCCCCAGTACCCCATCTAACCCAGCCCTCTGGCAGTGGGAAGCCATTCCCTGTGTCCTGTCCCTCCGTCCCTTGTCCCCAGTCCCTCTCCAGCTCTCCTGGAGCCCCTTTTAGGCCCTGCAAGGGGCTCTCAGCTCTCCCTGGATCCCTCTCTCCTCCAGGTGAACCCCCCCCAGCTTTCCCAGCCTGGCTCCAGAGCAGAGGGGCTCCAGCCCTGGGATGAATTTGATGTGTCTCTAATCATTCCCTGTGCTTCCCTCAGATCCCAACGGCTGCAGTTTGACGTGTCCTCTCCCAATGGGATCCTGCTCTTCCGGGAGACCAGTAAAATGATCACGACCTACGGTGAGTGGCCTCAGGTGGGATCCAGCAGCCTTGAGTTCCAGGGACACCTTCCACTAGCCCAGCTTGCTCCAGCCTGGCCTTGGACACTTCCAGGGATCCAGGGGCAGCCACAGCTTCTCTGGGCAACCTGTGCCACCCTCCCAGGGAGGAATTCCTTCCCAATATCCCCTCTAAATCCCCCCTCTGTCAGCTTAAGGCCATTCCCTGTGTCCTATCACTCCGTGCCCTTGTGAAAATCCCAGAAGAGCCACACTTTTCACTGGTATCAGTGTCCCTAACCCTCACCTTGGGGATAAACCCTGAGTGGCTTCAGCCCCTCCTGAACGGCTCTGCTTTGGTTTTCCTGCCCCCCCTCCCTGAGCGGGAAAGCTTTGGATGCGGCTGCTGGAACACTGACCCCGCTTCTGTGCCGTGCAGGGAATCGCATCCTGACGCTGGGGGAGGTCCCAAAGGATCAGGTCTATGCCCTGAAGCTCAAGGGCATCTCCATCTGCTTCTCCATGCTGAAGGCAGCGCTGAGCGGGAGCTACGTCAACTTCGGGGTGTTCCGGCTCTACGGGGACGACGCCCTGGACAATGCCCTGCAGACCTTCATCAAACTCCTGCTTTCCATCCCCCACAGCGACCTCCTGGTGAGCTGCCCCTGCCATCGGGCTGGGGACACCCAGGGGAGGCAGGGCTGGGAGGCTGGGGAGGAAAAGGAACGCTGGAATCGCAGAGGGAAGTGAACTCGTGCCCCTGGAATGGGCCAGCGGGGAATTGCGGCTCCTGGAATGGGCAGAAGCGGGTCCTGTGTGAAGGCTCTTACCTCAGCACCCAAATAATTCACCAGGTTTGGGTTGGAAGGGACCTTAGAAAGCATCCCAAGGGCAGGGACACCTCCCACTATCCCGGGTTGCTCCAACCTGGCCTTGGACACTCCCAGGGAAGAATCCCTTCCCATTATCCCAGATGCTGAATTTTTGGGTGACTTGGCACCTGGAGAGCCAGTCCTGCCTCAGAGTCATCTGTGGGCAAAGAGCAACCAGATTTAATGGAGCAGAGTTGGGAACCTGCTGGATGGAATGGTTTTGTTGTGGGAGAAGGAAGGGCGGGAAAAATCTGTTTGCCCATAAATATGCTGGAAGAGGAGTTGATTTGTTCTTTCCAGGAGTTTCACTCAGCACTTTTCCAGGTGATTAATAATGGGTGGGGTGTGGAAAGCCTGAACTGATGGTTCCAGGGTAACCACGAGGATTTAAAGCTCTTTCTCTCCTCCTTTCCCTGCAGGATTATCCCAAGCTCAGCCAGTCCTACTATTCCTTGCTGGAAGTTCTTACCCAGGACCACATGAACTTTATAGCCAGTCTGGAGCCTCATGTAATCATGTATATTCTCTCTTCCATTTCAGAAGGTCTCACTGCACTAGGTAATTCCTCCTGCTCTCTGTTGTGTTTTCAGGGATTGGGTTTGATTTGGAAGTGGAGAGGGATGAGGGATGAAAAATGTGCCTTGTGAAAACGGGTGGAGGAGTTTCACCTGTTTTAAGGGTGGAATGTTGGAGAGAGGGATGGGAGAGGTTGGGCCAGGTGACCCCACCACTGGACCCTTCCCACCTTAACCTGTGAATGTGTAGAATCATGGAATCATGGAATGGTTTGGGTTGGAAAGGACCTTAAAGCCCATCCAGTTCCACCCCCTGCCACGGGCAGGGACACCTTCCACTAGCCCAGGTTGCTCCAGCCCGGCCTTGGACACTCCCAGGGATGGGGCAGCCACAGCTTCTCTGGGAATTCCATTCCAGCTGCTCCCCACCCTGCCAGGGAGGAATTCCTTCCCACTATCCCATCTAACCATGCCCTCTGGCAGTGGGAAGCCTTTCCCCATGTCCTGCCCCTCCGAGCTCCTGCCCAAAGTCCATCTCCATCTTCCTCCCAGCTCTTTTCAAGCACTGGGAGGCCACAATCAGGCCTCCCTGCATCCTTTTCTTCTCCAGGCTGTGCATTCCCAACTCTCCCAGCCTTTCTTTAGCCTCACACCAGGGAGGAGGTTTCTGCCCTGTTCAGGATTTAGGGTGGTTTCTGCTCAGACCCCAAAAGGACCCCCTGGGAGGGAGCCTGTCCAGCAGCATCCCAACATCCCTGCTCTCCCTGTTCCTGCAGACACCATGGTGTGCACGGGCTGCTGCTCCTGCCTGGACCACATTGTCACTTATCTCTTCAAGCAACTGTCCCGCAGCACCAAGAAGAGAACGACCCCCCTGACCCAGGAGAGCGACCGCTTCCTGCACATCATGCAGCAGCACCCCGAGATGATCCAGCAGGTAATTCCCGGCCCCTGGAACCTCACCAGCTCTCTGAAGAGCCCTGAATGTTCCCAGCCTGATGTCACTGCTCTGCAGCCCCAGGGTTTTCTGGAATAAATAGGGTGGGTTTTATTTTTTTGCTGGTGTTGCATCTGTCCTCCACGGTCCTCGTGGGATAGGTGTGATTCCCTGTGATTCCCTGTGATTCCCTGTGATTCCCTGTGATTCCAAGCCCTGCTCCAGGGATGTGGTTGTCCTTGTTGCAAGGAAACACCATTCTGGCCTTGCAGATTAGCCAAAAACGAGCTTTTTTTGTCTTGAAGAGGAACACGGTTCTGGTGTTCTCCAGCCTCACTCACTGGGACCTGTCAAAGTGTCAGCACAACTCCCACGTGGAAACAGGGAATATTGGGATATTGTTCCACCCTTGCTGGTGGATCAGGTGCCAAGCAAAGCAGGCTTTTCTGGGGTCTAGGAACTTTGGGAGCTGGGATGGGCAGGGCTGCTTTGAAACCCCCCTTTCCCTCTTCCAGATGCTCTCGACAGTGCTGAACATCATCATCTTCGAGGACTGCAGGAACCAGTGGTCCATGTCCAGGCCCCTACTCGGCCTCATCCTGCTCAACGAGAAGGTAAGTGAGCCATCAACAGCCAGGAGGGGATGTCAGGGCTTGGCTGGTGCTGAGGGAGCAGCAGATGGTTGGGAAGCCATGGAGAGGCCACGTGCCAAGGGAAGGGCGTCCTTGGAGCTGAGGAATCCAATTCCCTTCCACTCGGAGTGCCCCCGAGAGCTGTAACCTGCTCCCTCCTTCTTCCCTGTGCGTGTTCCACCCCAAAGCTGAGGTCACCTGGCAACTTAACCCCTCCTTTTCCTGTCTTCCCAGTATTTCTCTGACCTGAGGAACAGCATAGTGAACAGCCAGCCCCCGGAGAAGCAGCAGGCCATGCACCTCTGCTTCGAGAACCTCATGGAGGGCATCGAACGCAACCTGCTGACCAAGAACAGGGACAGGTCAGTGTGGGGCTGGGGTGGAGCCTCCTGGACAGCACAGCCCTGGAGCAGCTTTTCCACGACATTCCTCCATGGAGTCGCCATCCCTGGGGGGATTTGTGGCACTGCTGGGTTAAGGGTTGGACTCGGTGACCTTAGAGGGCTTTTCCAGCCTCAGTTCCACGATTGGATGTGGGGCACAGGGTGGGACTTTTAAGGATAGTCCCATGCAGGGCTGAGGGTTGGACTTGCTGCTCCTCCTGGGTCCCTCCCAGCTCAGGCTATTCCACGATTTGAGAGCTCAGGGAGCGTTTGGATGATCCTCTCAGGGCCGTGGTGGGATTTTGGGGTGTCCTGGGCAGGGATCGGACTCTCTCCTCCCTGGGGGTCCCTGCCAGCTCCGAGCTGTGCTGGGGGAGGTCACTGACTGCCCTGCCTGCTCCCCCCCAGGTTCACCCAGAACCTGTCGGCGTTCCGGAGGGAGGTGAACGACTCCATGAAGAACTCGACCTACGGCGTGAACAGCAACGACATGATGAGCTGACACCTCCCACCTCCAGCTGTACAGAGCAGCATCTCCTTGGCCTGGCCCAGAGGGGTTTCTGATGGAAAGAAAAGAGGCCCTTCCTAAATCCCTGCCCTTCCCCAGGGCTGGATTGTGGATCCCACGTCCCCGAGGGTGGAAGGGGGGGGCAGGAGGTTTGAGCTCACCTGGGCAGGCGCTTCTGTTTTCCGTGGGGGGAAATTAAAAACGAAACAAAACAACACAAAAAGAAAAAAAAAAAAAAAAAAAAAAAAAAAAAAAAAAAAAAAAAAAAAAAAAAAAAAAAAAAAAAAAAAAAAAAAAAAAGAAAAAAAAAAAAAAGGGGGTGGAAGGGCATAATCCAGGTGCAAGAATCCGACGTCTCCCTACCCGGATGTGGAAACGCCAGCGCTCTGCTGCAGCCTGCCTTGTATAAACATGTACATTTTTTCATAACATTTTGAACAAGGTTTATATTGACTCGAGTTTAAAAAAAAAAAAAAGGACAAAAAAAAAAAAAGAGGAAAAAAAAAAG